ACACAGGCAGAACAGAGATGCCATGGGATGGGATGAAGCTGGGATGCAATGAAATGCACAGCCGTGACAGCAGCAACATCCCAGGACTTGCTCAAACACAACAACCATGAAGGGAAAGGAAGGGAAAGGAAGGGAAAGGAAGGGAAAGGAAGGGAAAGGAAGGGAAAGGAAGGGAAAGGAAGGGAAAGGAAGGGAAAGGAAGGGAAAGGAAGGGAAAGGAAGGGAAAGGAAGGGAAAGGAAGGGAAAGGAAGGGAAAGGAAGGGAAAGGAAGGGAAAGGAAGGGAAAGGAAGGGAAAGGAAGGGAAAGGAAGGGAAAGGAAGGGAAAGGAAGGGAAAGGAAGGGAAAGGAAGGGAAAGGAAGGGAAAGGAAGGGAAAGGAAGGGAAAGGAAGGGAAAGGAAGGGAAAGGAAGGGAAAGGAAGGGAAAGGAAGGGAAAGGAAGGGAAAGGAAGGGAAAGGAAGGGAAAGGAAGGGAAAGGAAGGGAAAGGAAGGGAAAGGAAGGGAAAGGAAGGGAAAGGAAGGGAAAGGAAGGGAAAGGAAGGGAAAGGAAGGGAAAGGAAGGGAAAGGAAGGGAAAGGAAGGGAAAGGAAGGGAAAGGAAGGGAAAGGAAGGGAAAGGAAGGGAAAGGAAGGGAGCTGCTTACCTCCTGAAGGCCCCAGGAACGCAGAGATCTCCAGGGAGATCCCCTCACCTCTCCTGGCAGCCCTTAAAGAGGGCTGGGAAGGGGTGGATCCTGGCTCCAGCCCTCCCACCCACTCAGCTGTATTGCATCGCATGCACCTGAGCTCCCTGGGCTGGCCCTGCCTTCCCCCAGGTTCTTCATCACTGCTTCAGGCTGGGACTTAACATTGCCACTCCAGATGGTGGCACGTGGGCAGGACGGAGACGTCCAGTAGTGGTGGCACGGGGGGGGGACTGAGATGTTCAGAAATGGTGACACGTGGGAGGTTGGAGCTGCCGTGGGGTGGTGGCACGTGGGCAGAACAGAGACTTGCAGGGATGGTGGCGCAGGTGGCAGGATGGAAACAGCAATGGTGGCACGTGGGCAGGGTGGGGATGCCATGGAGCAGAGAGTTCAGGGGACGGTGGCACTTGAAAGGATGGCAATATCATGGGGTGGTGGCACGTGGGAGGATGGAGGCGAACGGTTTGGCACATGGGCAAGATGGAGACGCCATGGGAAGTCGGAACGTCGTCAGGATGGAGACGTCGTGGGATGGTGATGAATGATGGAGATTTCCAGGGATGGTGGCACGTGGAAGGATGGAGGCATACAAGGGGTGGTGGCACAGGGGCAGGGGGGAGATGCTGTGGGGTGGCGGCACGCAGACAGGATGCAGCAGTTCAGCACGGTGACACACGGAAGGATGGAGGCACCCATGGGACGGTGGGCAGAGCAGAGATGTCCTGGGATGGGGGATAGAGGTGTTCAGAGATGGTGGCACATGGGCAGGATGGAGGGACGATGGTGGCACGTGGAGAGGTGGATATGGCAAGGGATGGTGACACAGGGCGGGATAGAGATGCCACAGGGTGGTGGGACACGGACAGGATGGAGATATTATGGGATGGTGGCATGGGGGGGGGGGGATAGAGGTGTTCAGAAATGGTGGCATGTGGGCAGGGTGGAGCTGCCGTGGGATGGTGGCACATGGCAGAGTGGAGATATTATGGGATGGTGGCACAGGAAGGACGGAGCTGCCATGGGATGGCGGCACGTGGGCAGCACAGGGAGTTCGGAGGGTGGTGGCACATGGGCAGATGGAGACGTTGTGGGATGGAGGCACGCAGACAGGATGGGGACGTCATGGGATGGTGGCACATCCAGGATGGTGGCACGTGGACACGATGGAGAGTTCAGGGGCGCAGGAGGGATGGAGATGCCGTGGGATGGCGGCACATGGGCAGGGTGGGGATATTATGGGATGGCGACACACGGACAGGACGGACGTGGGGACGCCAGGAGGCGGCGCAGTGCAGCCCGGTGTGGGGCGGCGCCGAGCTGCGGCGTTGGGAGCGTTTGGTTCTCATTATGGGCTGCTGGCAGCGGCGGTGGAAAAAATAGCAGGGAGTGCAGAGCTGGGAGGGAGAGGGGCCGTGGAGGGGGGGCTGCAGTGTGCAAACTGCAGCGTGCACAGCCAGCGTGCAGCTGTGTGCTCAGCGTGCAAAGAAAGCGTGCAGCTGTGTGCTCAGTGTGCAAAGAAAGCGTGCAGCTGTGTGCTCAGCGTGCAAAGCCAGCGTGCAGCTTGTGCTCAGCGTGCAAAGAAAGCGTGCAGCTGTGTGCTCAGCGTGCAAAGAAAGCGTGCAGCTGTGTGCTCAGCGTGCAAAGGAAGCATGCAGCTGTGTGCTCTGTGTGCAAAGAAAGCGTGCAACTGTGTGCTCTGTGTGCAAAGAAAGCGTGCAGCTGTGTGCTCAGCGTGCAAAGGAAGCATGCAACTGTGTGCTCTGTGTGCAAAGAAAGCGTGCAGCTGTGTGCTCAGCGTGCAAAGAAAGCGTGCAACTGTGTGCTCTGTGTGCAAAGAAAGCGTGCAGCTGTGTGCTCAGCGTGCAAAGAAAGCATGCAACTGTGTGCTCTGTGTGCAAAGAAAGCGTGCAGCTGTGTGCTCAGCGTGCAAAGAAAGTGTGCAGCTTGTGCTCAGCGTGCAAAGAAAGCGTGCAGCTGTGTGCTCAGCGTGCAAAGGAAGCGTGCAGCTGTGTGCTCTGCATGCAACATGCAGTTAAAGCATGCAAAGCGTGTGCTCAGCATGCAACATGCCATCTGCACGCATGCTGGGTGTGCAACATGTAACTGAGTGCAACGTGTGTCCTCCGTGTGCAACCTGCTCGCAGCGTGCGACGTGCAACACGCCTGCTCAGTGTGCAACGCGCACACGACATGCAACATGTGTGCAACATGCATGCAGCGTGCAACACGCGTGCTGAGTGTGCAGCACGCATGCTTGCACGCTCGTGTTGGTGCTGCACACTGCAGCCGTGGCTCTGCTCCCCCCCCCTTTGGGGTTGTGTGGGGGCACCGGAGGCTGCGCGGCATCACAGCCCTCGTTAAGGAGCTGAGCCAATTAACGGCGGCACCAATAATCCCATAATGCGATCATCCCGCTCAGCACGGCGCTGTGGCACCCATGGGTGGCACCTCCACCCCCCAGCCCCTCACCACTGTGTGCCCCATTGCGCCGGCTGTGTGCACCCCATAGCACCCCCTATATCCACCCCATGGCATCCCCTATACCCACCCCATAGCATCCCCTATATCCACCCCATGGCATCCCCTATACCCACCCCATAGCATCCCCTATATCCACCCCATGGCATCCCCTATACCCACCCCATAGCATCCCCTATATCCACCCCATGGCATCCCCTATATCCATCCCATAGCACCCCTATATCTATCCCATAGCACCCCTATATCCACCCCATGGCATCCCCTATATCTATCCCATAGCATCCCCTATATCCATCCTTGGCATCCCCTATATCCATCCCATGGCATCCCCTATATCCATCCCATAGCACCCCTATATCCACCCCATGGCATCCCCTATATCCATCCCATAGCATCCCCTATATCCATCCCATGGCATCCCCTATACCCACCCCATATGCATCCCCTATATCCACCCCATAGCATCTCCTACATCCACCCCATAGCATCCCCTATATCCACCCCATATGTATCCCCTCTGTGCACCCCATGTGCCACTCCTGCACCCCTATATCCACCCCATGGCACCCCCTATCACTATCCCCTACATGCACTCCCTGTGTGCACCCCATGTGCCACTCATACGCACCATGTGCACCCCATGGCATCCCCTATATCCACCCCATAGCACCCCCTATATCCACCCTATAGCACCCCCTATATCCACCCCATAGCATCTCCTATATCCACTCCATAGCATCCCCTATACGCACCCCCCTCGTGCACCCCACAGCACCCCCCATATGCACCCCTATGTGCACCCCATGTGCCACTCCTGCACCCCTTGTGCACCCCATGGCATCCCCTATATCTGTCCTAGGCATCAGCTCTGTGCACCCCACAGCACCCCCTAAGTGTACCCCCCATATGCATCCCCTATGTGCACCCCATGGGTGGGATGGGAGGGGATGGGAGGGGATGGGAGGGGAATGGGAATGGGTGCATGGAATGGGACAGGGATGGGGATGGGATGAAATAGGATGAAATGGGAATAGGGATAGGGATAGGGATAGGGATAGGGATAGGGATAGGGATAGGGATAGGGATAGGGATAGGGATAGGGATAGGGATAGGGATAGGGATAGGGATAGGGATAGGAATGGGGTGGTGTGGGGACAGGGACAGGGAAGAGTGGGGTGGGATGGGGTGAAGGGGGACAGGGATATGGATGGGAATGGATGGGAGCAAGAAATGGGATGGAGATAGGGATAGAAGGGACTGGGATGGGGTGGGATGGGATGGGATGGGGATGGGATGGGATGGGATGGGATGGGGGTGGGATGGGATGGGATGGGATGGGATGGGGTGGGATGGGATGGGGTGGGATGGGGTGGGATGGGATGGGATGGGATGGGATGGGATGGGATGGGATGGGATGGGATGGGATGGGATGGGATGGGATGGGATGGGGTGGGATGGGATGGGGTGGGATGGGGTGGGATGGGATGGGATGGGATGGGATGGAGCCGGGGTCGGGCTCATCTGCAGCCCCCTCAGCAGTGGGGCAGAGCGGCAGCCCGGATGGGGGTTGGGGGTGCATTGCGGGGCTGCGGGCCGTTCCTGCTTGTCTGCTGCGGGTCCCCCCTGCTGTGCCCGCACGGAGCGGCGCTGCGCGGAGCCGCGATGCGGAGCGAAGGAAGCGGAGCGCCGACAGCGACCTGAGGAGCGGGGACAGGAGGAGTGGGACAGCAGTACAGTGAAACAAAGCGATACAACGGGACCCAAACACCGCCCCACACCCCGCATTTAGGGCCTCACAGCACCGCCCGGGCCGAAGTCTGTGTGCGGGGCGGTGCGGGTCCAAAGTCCGAGCGGGCGCGGCGGCGATGCGCGGTGTGTGCGAGGGGGGGAACCGCACGGCAGGTGCGTGCGGGGCTGCGGGGCTGCGGGCGGCGTGGACCCCCGGGAGGGTTGGGAGGGTCGGGGGTAGGGAAAACGGCACCGACGCGGCCTCCGCTGTGCGCAGGGCGATGTCCGTCGTTCATCTTCATCATCATCTTCATCTCCGTCACCATCTTCGTTGTGCTCCTCTTCGTGTGCCGACTGTTCTGCTGCAACCGCGCCGCCCCCCCGCTCAGCCGTGAGCCCCCCGGCCCCGCGCCCCCCCCGTTGCACCCAATGCCCGCCCTGCCCAGCCTGCCCGGGGGGGGCGGGATGTTCGGCTTGGAGCCCCCGCCCTATAGCGAGGTGCGCCCCATAAATGCGGGATGGGCGGTGAGAGGGGCGGGAGGGGGGGGAGGGGGGGAAGGGGAATGGGGTGAGAAGGCTGCGGGTGCTTCCTATGGGGCCTGGGGTGTTATGGGGCTGGGGGTCATGGAGCTGTGGGGCTGGCAACGATGGAGTTGTGGGGTCAGACATGATGGAGTTATGGGGTTGACACTGGTGGAGTTATGGGGTCAGAAATGATGGAGTTTCAGGGCTGGGAGTGATGGAGTTGTGGGGCTGGAAGATGACTGCATTATGGGGATGGCAACGTGGAGCTGTGGGTTCAGGGATGATGGTGTTGTGGGGTCGGGAATGATGGAGCTATGGGGTTGAAAAGGTGGAGATGTGGGGTCGACAGTGTGGAGTTGTGGGGTCAGAAATGATGGAGTTTCAGGGCTGGGAGTGATGGAGTTATGGGGCTGGAAGATGACTGCATTATGGGGCTGGCAATGTGGAGCTGTGGGGTCAGGGATGATGGAGTTATGGGGCTGGAGGTGATGGAGGTGTAGGGCTGGGAAGTGATTGCGTTCTGGGGCTGACAATGATGGAGCTGTGGGGTCAGGGATGATGGAGTTTAGGGGTCGGAGGTGATGGACTTATGGGGTTGGGGGTGATGGCGTTATGGGGCTGATGCAGTTATAGGGCCGTCCCCACTGACTCCCGGTCCCCACAGGTGGCAGCGCAGCCCTCGCTGTTCCCGCAGCGCGACCGCAGCGTCCCGGCGTCGCCTCCCCCCGGCAGCCCGACCCACTTCTATGGGGGTTTGCAGCCCCCCCCGGGCACAGCGGATCTGTGCGGCGCTCTGCGGTCCCCCCCCGCCCCGGCGGCGGCACTGAGCTCCGCCTCGCTCCCTTCGTGCCCCCCGCGCTCCGTCTGAGCCCCACCGACCGCCCCCCCCCCCCCCCCGGCGCTGCTCCGATGGAGCTCCGTGCGGGGATCTCAATTTATTGTGGCAATAGAACAGAAAGAGCCCGCACTGCGCTGCTGAGCCGGGGGGAACCGTAGGGGTGGGGGCACAGCTGTGCATCAGCCCCCGTCCCATCCCATCCTACATCCTGTATCCTGTATCCTATATCCTATATCCTATATCCTACATCCTATATCCTATATCCTATATCCTATATCCCATATCCTATATCCTATATCCTATATCCTACATCCTATATCCTATATCCTATATCCTATATCCTATATCCTATATTCTATATCTGATCCCATCACATCCCATCCTATCCTATCCTGTCCCACCCTCTCCCATCCTATATCCTATTGCATCCTACTCCATCCTATTCCACACCATTGTATTCTGTATCCTACTGTATCCCATCCCAACCCATCCCCTCCCATCCCACCCTATCCTATCATATTCCATCCCATCCAATCATATCCCATCCCATCCCATCCCATCCCATCCCATCCCATCCCATCTCATCCCATCCCCATCCTTTCCCTGTTCCTATTTCATCCCATCCCATCCCATCCCATCCCATCACACCCCCATCCCATCCCATCCCATCCCATCCCATCCCATCCCATCCCATCCCATCCCATCCCATCCCATCCCATCCCACCCCATCCCATCCCATCCCATTCCATCCCATCCCATCCCATCCCATCCCATCCCATCCCATCCCATCCCATCCCACCCCATCCCATCCCATCCCATTCCATCCCATCCCATCCCATCCCATTCCATCCCATCCCATCCCATCCCATCCCATCCCATCCCATCCTATCCCATCCCATCCCACCCTATCCCCATCCCCAGCCCATCCCATCCCAGCCCATCCTACATTCTATTCTATCTCCTCCCACCCCCATCCCGCCCCCCTTCCCATCCTACCCCCGTCCCCCCATCCCTCTCAGCTCCCCCCATCACAGTGCTGCGCTCCCCGCTCTCGCTCCACGCATTGCTGCCTTCTCCTTCCTCTTGAGCCTCAGCAGATCCACGTGCAGCACACGGCCCAGCACGGCTGAGGTACAAAGCAGCGCCCCCTGAACGGCCCCTGCCAGCCCACAGCTGAACACGTCCTGGCCTGGGGACGAGACCTGGCTGTGACACGGCCACCCCAGGGGGACACGGGGACATGGGGATAGGGTCACCCCATGGGACATCCCGGGTGTAAGGAGAGCCTGGCTGGAGCTGAGCATGGAAAGATGGGGATATGGGGCACGGGGACAGGGGGATGTGGAGAGAGGGGACATGGGGACATGGGGGCACACAGACATGGGGACATGGGGATGTGGGGACACGGAGACATGGGGACATGGGGACACAGACGTGGTGACATGGGGACATGGGAAGATGGGGCGTAGGATCATGGGGACACAGACGTGGGGAAATGGAGTCATGGGGACTTGGGGACACTGGGATGTGGGGACATGGGGACAGGGAGAAACAAGACCAGGAGACACGGGGATGCAAGGATGTGGGGACACGGAGCACATGGGGACACAGGGACACACAGACGTGGGGACACGAGGATATGGGGACATGGGGACATGGAGAAACAAGACCAGGAGACTTGGGGGTACAGAGATGTGAGGATGCAGGGATGTGGGGACACAGGCACATGGGACGTGGGGACACACAGACATGGGGACATGGGGCACACAGGGACACGGGGACAGGCACAAATGTGGGGACATGGAGTCATGGAGACAGGGGGACTCTGGGACATGGGGGCATGGAGAAGCAAGAGCAGGAGACACGGGGACGCAGGGATGAGGGGACACAAAGCGCACAGGGACACAGGGACACACAGACATGGGGACACAAGGATATGGGGGCACAGGGAGAAGCAAGACCAGGAGACACGGGGACGCAGGGATGTGGGGACACAGGCACATGGGACGTGGGGACACACAGACATGGGGACATGGGGCACACAGGGACATGGGGACAGGCACAAATGTGGGGATGTGGGGACAGTTACAGACCTGGGGACATGGGGTCATGGAGACAGGGGGACTCTGGGACATGGGGGCATGGAGAAGCAAGACCAGGAGACACGGGGACGCAGGGACGAGGGGATGCAGGGATGGGGGGACACGGGCACATGGGACATGGGGAACACAGACATGGGGACACAGGGACACGGGGACAGGCACAAATGTGGGGACATGGAGTCATGGAGACAGGGGGACTCGGGGACATGGGGGCATGGAGAAGCAAGAGCAGGAGACACGGGGACGCAGGGATGAGGGGTCATGAAGCACACAGAGCACACAGAGCACACGGGGACACACAGACATGGGGACACAGGGACACAGGAGGTGGGGACGGCCACGTACCCGTCAGGTAGAGGTTCCTGACAGGGGTGTCCGCCCTCATGGCTGCCACCACCTCGGGGCTGAAGCGCCGCAGGTCGTGCTCAGCGCCGTACATCTCCCCGCGCGGCGCCGCCAGGTAATGCGCATTGCTGAGCGGCGACGCCGCCTCCACGAAGTCCACCTGCACGGCCCAATGGGGGGGAGAGAGAAGGGGGCACATAGGGCACACCGGGGGTCTCCATCCCCTCCAGCCCACCCCATTCCGGGTACCCGGCCCCACGGAGCGCCCCGACGCCGTCACCTTGTCGCGGAGGTGGGGGAAGCGCAGCAGCGCGCGCTGCAGCAGGCGCTGGGCGATGTCGGTCTTGTAGCGCAGGTAATCGTCCCCACGGCGCCTGGGAAGACTCCCTGCCCAGCCCTCGAACCATTCGTAGCGCGCCATGGTCAGGATGGTCATGCATGAGCGGCCTGCGTGGGGGGCGCAGGGGGAGATCGGCCCTGAGGCCCCCCTGTGATCCGTTGCAGGGCGCCCCTGGTGCGCACCCCATGGCCGCAGCCACCGAGGGATCGCAGTCTTCATCGCTGGGACGTCGCCCCCAGAGTTCACCCCGTAACCCCAGCCATTGGGGTGACCTCGGCCCTAATCGTGGGGCTGTCACCCACCCCAGTGCCCACCCCATAACCTCAACCACTGGCATGACTTTGGTCCTAATCATGGAGATGTTCCCCCCCCACCAGTGCCCACCCCATAACCCAACCATTGGGATGACCTTGGTTGCCATCATAGGGATGTCAGCCCTGGTGTCCACCCCATAACTACAGCCACTGGCATGACCTTGGTCTCCATTGTAGGGATGTCACCCCCAGTGTCCACCCCATAACCTCAACCACTGGCATGACTTTGGTCCTAATCATGGAGGTGTTCCCCCCCAGTGCCCACCCTGTAACCCCAACCATTAGGATGACCTCGGCCCTAATCATGGGGCTGTCACCCACCCCAGTGCTCACCCCATAACATCAACCACTGGCATGACCTTGGTCTCCATTGTAGGGATGTCACCCCTGGTGTCCACCCCATAACCTCAACCACTGGCATGACTTTGGTCCTAATCATGGAGATGTTCCCTCCCCTGTGCTCACCCCATAACCCCAACCACTGGGATAACCTTGATCTCCACCGTAGGGATGTCACCCCCGGTGTCCACCCCATAACCCAACCATTGGGATGACCTTGGTTGCCATCATAGGGATGTCAGCCCTGGTGTCCACCCCATAACTACAGCCACTGGCATGACCTTGGTCTCCATTGTAGGGATGTCACCCCCAGTGTCCACCCCATAACCACAACCACTGGCATGACTTTGGTCCTAATCATGGAGATGTCCCCCCCCCAGTGCTCACCCCACAACCCAGCTATTGGGATGACCTTGGTCTTCACCATAGGGATGTCAGCCCTGGTGTCCACCCCATAACTACAGCCACCAGGATGACCTTGGTCTCCATTGTAGGGATGTCACCCCCAGTGTCCACCCCATAACCTCAACCACTGGCATGACTTTGGTCCTAATCATGGAGGTGTTCCCCCCCAGTGCCCACCCTGTAACCCCAACCATTAGGATGACCTCAGCCCTAATCATGGGGCTGTCACCCACCCCAGTGCTCACCCCATAACATCAACCACTGGCATGACCTTGGTCTCCATTGTAGGGATGTCACCCCTGGTGTCCACCCCATAACCTCAACCACTGGCGTGACTTTGGTCCTAATCATGGAGATGTTCCCTCCCCTGTGCTCACCCCATAACCCCAACCACTGGGATAACCTTGATTTCCACCCTAGGGATGTCACCCCCGGTGTCCACCCCATAACCCAACCATTGGGATGACCTTGGTTGCCATCATAGGGATGTCAGCCCTGGTGCCCACCCCATAACTACAGCCCCTGGGATGACCTTGGTCTCCATTGTAGGGATGTCACCCCCAGTGTCCATCCTGTCACCTGACTCTTGGGATGAAGCCAGTCTTCACCATGGGAGCGTTGGCCTCAGTTCCCACCCCACCCCACTTGGGGGATGCCCAGCCCCAACCACGGGGATGACCTTGATCCTAATCACAGAGTTGTCACCACCCCAGCGCCCACCCCACAACCCCAACCACTGGGATGACCGTGGTCCTAACCATGGAGACATCACCCCCATGCCCGCCCCATCGCCCAACCCTTGGCAGATGAAGGAGGTGCTGAGCTCATGCCGTCATGTGGATGGGGTGGAGGGGGAGGGGGCACGGTGAGGACCCCTCACCTGGGTGCCGCTCCTCGTAGGTGGGGTCCTTGGCGGCAGGGAAGGTGATGAACATCATGGCCAGGTTCTCAGGGACGTCCTCGCGGCTCAGGGCAGCGTATTTGCTCATCCTACAGGAACAGCACTTGTCCCCATCCCTGCCCCCGTCCCTGTCCCACAGTGGGGGTCCCTTACATGGTGTCCAGGTCGTTGTGAGGGTAGATCCAGAAGTTGGTGGCTGGCAGGTCCAGCTCGGCCGCGGTGCCCCGCAGCCCCACAAACACCAGGAAGGAGCCCATCCCGTGCTGCACCATGGCCAGGCGGGAGCGGATGACTGCGGGGACAGGGGGGCATTGGGGACAGTGGCACCCTGTCCCCTGGAGAGGGGTGGTGGGGGCACAGGGGATGCCATGGACACCAGGGGTGCTGGGGACATCAGGCGGGGACACCAAGAGCACTGGGGACGTGATGATCTCTGAGGGTTCTGGAGACACTGGGGACACCACGAGCAATGGGGACACCAGGGGTGTTGGGGACATCAGCAACACCGGGGACACCAGGAGCACTGGGCCACAATGAGCTTTTGGGTGCTGGGGACACCGGGGATATTGGGGACATCGTGGGCACTGGGGGTGCTGGGAACACGGGAGATACTGGAGACACCATGGGCACCGGGGACACCAGGGACACTGGGGACACAATGAGCTTTGGGGTGCTGGGGACACCAGGGGCACCAGGGACATGGGAGACATTGGAGAAGCCACGATCACTGGGGGCACCAGGGACACTGGGGACACCATGGGCACGGGGGAACCCAGGCAGACGGGCGCCATGGCGGCACACACCGGGGTGGGCACGCAGTGGGGAGGGCAGCAGCCTGCCGAAGGTGTTGAAGATCCCAGCATCAGAGATGACAATGCGTGCCCGGATCTCCACCTCCTCCTCCTCACCGCCCTTCCGCACGGCCACCCCTGCAGCACAGCGTGTTGTCACCCATCCCCATGTTGTCACCCATCCCCATGTTGTCACCCACCCCACACTGTCACCCATCCCATGTTGTCACCCATCCCACGCTGTCACCCATCCCCATGTTGTCACCCATCCCATGTTGTCACCCATCCCATGTTGTCACCCATCCCCATGTTGTCACCCATCCCGTGTTGTCTCCCACCCCACACTGTCACCCATCCCATGTTGTCACCCATCCCATGTTGTCTCCCACCCCACACTGCCACCCATCCCATGTTGTCACCCATCCCATGTTGTCACCCACCCCCATGTTGTCACCCACCCCACACTGTCTCCCACCCCACATCCCAGCCCCCACGCTGGCCTCTCACCCACAGCGGTGTCACCAGAGACGAGGATGCGTGTGACAGCAGCCCTCACCAGCACGGCCCCCCCTGCGCGCTCGATGAGGGGCACGGTGTGGAAGGCGACCTCGCTGGCCCCCCCCCGCGGGTACCAGGCGCCGCGCTGGTAGTGGTGAACCATCAGCATGTTCACCAGGAAGCTGGAGTCCCGGGGTGCCGTGCCTGGGGACACGGGGATGGTGACAGTGCCACGACATGGCCCTCCCCGTCGTGATACGACCCTCCCCTAGCGCAATGTGGCCCTCCCCGTCATGATACAGCCGTACTCTGTCATGACATGGCCCTCCCCATCGTGATAGGGCCCTCCCCTACCACAGTGTGGCCTTCCATATTATGATATAGCCATCCTCTGTCATGACATGGCCCTCTCCATCATGATATAGCCATCCTCTGTCGTGACAAGGCCCTCCTCATCGTGATACAGCCATCCTCTACCACAACATGGCCTTCCCTATCACGATACAGCCACCCCCTGTTGCAACCCACCTCACCCTATCGTGACACAGCCCACCTCTCCTGCAGCAATGTCCTGCTGTATCACGACACAGCCCTCCTCCCGTTGCAGCAGTGCCCTCCTTATCACAACACCCCCCTCCTTGCAGCAACAGCCCCTTCTCTGTCGCGATATCCTCCTCCCTGTTGTGATAGCCCACTCTCTGTCATGATAGCCTCCTCCCCATCACGATAGCCTACTCCCTGTCTCCATATCGCCCTCCCCATCACTATAGCCCCCGCCCCATCACAACAGCCCTCTCCCTGTCTCGATAGCCCCCTCCCCATCCTGACAGCCCGCTCTCTGTCACGACAGCCGCTGACCATAGAAGAGGTAGCTGAACAGGGCACGCAGGTCCTGGTTGTCCGTCAGCCGGGCCACCCCCTCGCTGTGGCTGGTGGCCGCCATGCGGAAGACGGGCGACAGGCAGTGCAGCAGGCCGCTGCGCACCAACATGGCCGCCAGCCAGCGCGGCACCATCTTCAGCAGCGCCAGCAGCGCCACGTGCTTGGAGGCCACCTGCAGCGCACGGCTCCGCGTCGCCCCACGGCCGCCTTCGTCCCCAGCATGGCTGCCACCCGACACCCCCGCCGCCTTTGCCCCCCCCCCCCCTTTTCCCAACCGCGCTCATCCCAGCCAACCCCCCTCCCACGCCCCCCGTGTCCCAACAACCCACATCCCGGCCAATCTCGCCACCCCGTGTCCCATCCAACCCCACCACCCGCATCCCCAACACCTACATCCCACCACCCGACCACCCGCTCCCCCCACGGCCACCGCCTCTGTCCATTTCCCCACCACCCCCATCCCCACCACCCCCGTCCTCCCCATGGCCACCATCCGTGCGCTCCCCAACCCTCCACCCGTGTCACCACCCACGTCCCCCATGCCCCCACCTAGCTAACCCCATTACCCATGTCCCCACCACCCCCGTCCTCCCCACAGCCACCATCCATGTCCCAACCACAGTTGCCCTCCCACAGCCACTACCGATGCCCACGTCCCCACCGCCTCCATCCCCACAACTCATGTCCCCTCCACCCATCTCCTCCCCATGGCCGCCATCCACATCTCCCAACCAACTCTGCCGCTCATGTCCCACCGCCAGTGTCCCCACCACCCGTGTCCCCCACGTCCTCACCATCCCTGCCCCCCTCATGGCCACCACCCATGTCCCTCATTGCTCTCCACCCATGTCCTCCCCATAGCCACCACCTGCGTCCCATCCAACCCCATCCCTCACGGCCCCCATCCCCATCTTCCCCATGGCCCCCACCACCCTTCTCCCAGCCAACCCTACCGATACTCACATCCCCTCCACGTCCCCCTCTGTCCTCACCACCCATGTCCCCCTATGCCCACTACCCCTGTCCCCTCCACCCCCATCCCCTCAATCCCCACAGCCACCACAACCACCTTTTCACCCCCAGCCCAACCCAAACACCCACAGACCCGCATGGACACCACCTCCCCCAGCAGCTCGGCTCAGCTGACCCCCCCCCCACTGCCCCCCACTCCCACTCCCCCAATGCAGCCCCACCTTGGACAGCCTCATGAACTCCCGGATCGCCGCCTTCTCCTCAGGGAACTGCTCCTCCAGTGCAGCAACGAAGGCAGCTTTGCCGGCACGGAGCTGATAGCAGCGCGGGCCCAGGGTCACCTCATCATAGGGGTCAGGCAGGCGCTGCCAGCACAGCTGCCCATCTGTCAGCTGGTCCAGCAACACGCGCAGCATGCTGCCCTCGTGCATCTGCCCCACGTAGTGGATGCCTGCAGGCGCCAGGAGGGCAGGCATGCGGTGTGTGCACGCATTATACATGTGTAAGGTATGCACGGCGCATGTGCACACACACGTGGCCTGCACACTGCATGCACACACATGCACTGCAGGCAGACGGTGTGCACGCTGCAGACATCACGCATTCCTGCACGCTGCACGCATGCCCTGCGTCCATTCACCCCACATGCAAACAATGCGTGCACCACGCACACCCTGCCCACGCCGACATCACACGTGCTGCATGCACGCTTTGCACAGCCGTTGCGCTGCAGGTTGGATGCACGATCGCAAGCTGCAAGCACCACCAATGCATGCTGCTCCTTACCCACGTCAAACTCATTGCCCCGCTCCTGGAAGGTGTGGCAGCAGCCCCCAGCCTGGTCGTGCTGCTCCAGCACCAGCACACGTTTGCCCACCTTGGCCAGGATGCACGCAGCTGCCAGCCCCCCAATGCCACTGCCGATGACAACAGCATCCAAATCCTGCGGCACGCGTGCAGTGCTGAACCCTGTGCATGGAGAGAGGAGCGTTGTGCTGCTTGCATGCAGCAGCAGGAGGCGTGCACCCACACAGCATGCAGTGTGCACCCACGGATGCACAGCATGCACCAGTGCAGCATGGTGTTGTGTGCGCCGATGCAGCATGCGGTGCACATCCACAGCACATGCAATGTGCACTCAGGAGGTGTGCAAGATGCATCTGTGCAGCGTGCACTCATCCAGCACACAGTGCATATCCACCCAGCGTGCAACATGCAGTCATGCAGCGTGCGCTTGTGCAGCACGCAGTGCACATCCACACAGTGTGCAGTATGGAGCCATGCAGCATGCAGTATGCACACATGCAGCATGCAATATGCAGACATGCAGTGCACATTGGTGCAGCATGCCGTGCATGTCTATGCAGCGTGCAAGATGCACGCATGCAGCATGCAATATGGAGCTGTGCAGTGTGCGCTGGTGCAGCACGCGGTGCAGATCTGCGCAGTGTGCAATATGCACCCACGCAGCATGCAACACGCACCTGTGCAGCTCACAACTGCATGTTGCCCTGCATGCGTGGCTGCAGCAGGCGCCGCGCTCACACACAGCACGCGCTGCAACTGCACGGCGTGAGCCCGCGGGGATGGGCAGACGGACAGACAGACGCACACACAGACTCACCCCTCCTCAGCACTCTGTTACGGGCGTGCTGGTCCATCACCAAGGGCCGGGGAGGTCGGGGGGCTGGGTGTGCAAAGGGATTCCCAGCAGAACCCAGCAGGCGTTGTGCCAGCAGCCCCAGCAGCAGCACGGCCAGGCACAGAGGCAGCAGCAGCAGCAGCGGCGAGGCCCACATGGTTGCAGCGGGGCAGCGCTGCAGCTCGGATGCAGCACCTCGGGGACGGGGTGGTGTGGATGCAGAGCACCTCGTCTGTGTGTGTGACCCCCAACCCCCCCCCCAAGCTGTCGGATTGGGGGCTTAGGGGGCAGAGCAGCTTATCGCTGCAGCGGCTTACGGACACGGGCTCGCAGCCAGCAGTTTTGCACCCCGTGTGGCAGCACCCCCCCTCCTGTTGTGTCATCCCCCCCCCCCCTGCACACACATCGTGCTGCTGGGACACAGAGCAGCGTGCACGGATGGTGTGTGCGTGCGTGGCACGTGTGCAGCTGTGCAAAAGGGGGGACGCACGGAGCCGGGCAGGCACGGATCTGCGTGTGCAAACTGTGCAAAGCACGCGGGTGTTTGCACACCCTCACACCCAGCCCAGCTCCGCTGCCTGCAGCTGTGCTGACATCTCCTGGCTGCAGGGGGAAGGGCACTGCACACACGTGTGCAAACACACACAAAGTGAGCCCCCCACGCACCCCTCCCCAGCCCCACAAACCCCCTCTGTGTGCTAAAATGGGGCCAAAGATGCGTTTTCAGGGATTAAGGCATCGGTGGGAGAGGGGACGTCGTGGCGGGGGGACGCGCACGGGGGGCGGAAGGGACACGGGTGGCACCGTGCCCACCCTGCGCTGCCCCAGTTCTGTGGGTCTGGGGACACGGGAGCTGCTTTTCTTCTCTTTCACTTTAAGAAAAGGCACAAAAGCGCCACAGAGGGGTGAGGCAAGGATGGGGGGACATGGGGAGGGGGGCGTGGGAAAAGGGGACGTGGGGAAATGGGGACATAGGGGCTCTGAGATGTGGGGACACAGGCATTTGGGAACACGGGGACATGAGGACCCCCGGGTGGGGCAGGGGGACAGAGGGGATGCAGAGATGCAGCACGGAGCCCCCCCTGTCCCCACATCCCCCCATAGCAGCGACAGCAGCACCACTGAAGGTCATTAATTGCGGGCTAATTACAGGTTGGGGTCCTCATTGGGGTCATTGCTATGTGGGGGGGGGCCCGGGCGGGGGGGCACCGAGATGAGTGCAGAGCCCAACCCTGTGGGGTCAGGTGGGGAAACTGAGGCAGGGTCTGCTCATGCGCAGTGCTCTGTGCCGCCACCTGGTGGACGGACAGCGCCGCTGCACCGCCTGGAGGACCTCGGACCACAGAGAGCGCAGTGCAGAGCGGCTCCGGCGGGAGGAGCTCCAACCGTCCTCAAAGACTGGTGGAAGCGTGTGCACAGAGCAGTGGTGCAAGGCTGAGTGTGCACAGAGCAATGCTAAGTGTGCACAGTGCAATGCTGTGTGTGCACAAAGCAATGCTAAGTGTGCACAATGCAATGCTAAGTGTGCACAATGCAAGGCTGAGTGTGCACAGAGCAATGCTAAGTGTGCACAGTGCAATGCTGTGTGTGCACAGAGCAATGCTGTGTGTGCACAATGCAATGCTGTGTGTGCACAATGCAATGCTGTGTGTGCACAGTGCAATGCTAAGTGTGCACAGTGCAATGCTAAGTGTGCACAATGCAAGGCTGAGTGTGCACAGAGCAATGCTAAGTGTGCACAGTGCAATGCTGTGTGTGCACAGAGCAATGCTGTGTGTGCACAGTGCAATGCTGTGTGTGCACAATGCAAGGCTGAGTGTGCACAGAGCAATGCTGTGTGTGCACAGTGCAATGCTAAGTGTGCACAATGCAAGGCTGAGTGTGCACAGAGCAATGCTGTGTGTGCACAGTGCAATGCTAAGTGTGCAAAATGCAAGGCTGAGTGTGCACAGAGCAATGCTAAGTGTGCACAATGCAAGGCTGAGTGTGCACAGTGCAATGCTGTGTGTGCACAGAGCAATGCCTGGCGTGCACAGTGCACAACTTGTGCACACACCTCGTGCTCGCTGGGCACAGACAGCAGCACAGCGGCACCCTTGCTCTCCATGCTCACACACACAGCTGCACGCACACCACTGCACACCCCGCTGCGCCCGTTCCCAGCACCAGGCAGAAGCAGGAGGTGGCTGCAATGAGGTTTATTTTGGGGGTCTGGGGGCAGTGTGAGGGGGGCTGAGGGGCTGAAGATGTTGCAGGACCCCCCACCCCCCAGGCAGTGCTGGGCCACGCAGTCAGCACCGCACCCGGCGCTCAGCACCCAGCA